TTTTACTCAAGATGATCGTGGCGGTACATGGTTAAAAACATAAAAGAAAACCAAAAATATTTTTTTTTTGAAGAAAGTGCCACTTACAATTTTAAAAGTACCGTAAAATCTAAATTAAAACAAAAAATAGTAAAATTAAATCAAAAAGGAAAATCAAAGGACCTAACTTATTGTAACTCAAGTGTAAAAGAAGGGATATTTTTTATTTTTTATGTTTTTAACCATATTGTACCGCTACGATTATCTCGAGTAAAATATATATTATACATGTGTAAGTAGTGATGTTGCATGTAAAATATGATGGTGGTATTTCTACAGGGTGTTAAAAAAATCTTGTTTTGAAAATTAAAATTTTTTTTTTTTGACACCTTATAGATGTCGAAATCAAATTAAACCCTCGAATTAAACCATGCATACTTGTTTGAACCCTCCTAAGGTATCCTACTACCCATATTGTTTTCAAGGTCCTAGCTTTTCCCGTTCCGGAGAAAAAACTTTTTGATTTTTTAATTTGACGTCATAACTCCGGGACCACGTTGTTCTAGAAGCTGGTATGAATGGTAATTTAGTGTTGGTCATGAGGTACCTTATATGTGAAAATCAGCCTGATATCCCTGGGGACATCTCGTCAAAGGAAAACCGGCCAGGCCCTTTTCATCATATAATCCCTTTCAAACCATGCAACTTTTGTCTCAAACATAAAGGCTATGAACTATTCCAATGGATTGATTAAAATGGCCCACCCTGTATACAAGGTGTTTCCTAAGTAAGTACACAACTTGAAGGGGATATTCCTTGGTTTATTTTAAGAAGAAAAGGTCCTATAAACATCCTAAACTACTCCGTTTTCAAAATACGGGTGTCAAAGTTGAGAAAAAGAATATAAAAATTACAAAAATCTGGAAAACGCTTAGATATTTTATTCAAATTTGATGTGCGTACGTATGGTATCAAAAACCATATACCTGTACCGATAAAACATTTTTAGATGTACCAGAAGTACATCTAAAATTTTTTTACTATTTTAAAAACGAAGCAGTTTAAGACATATGTTCAAAGAACCTTTTCTTTCTAAAATAAACCAAAGAATATTTCCTTCAATTTTTTGTACTTACTTAGGAAACACCCTGTACAAACATGTATATATTTAACGTATATATTAAATGTAATTTTCTCATATATTTTCTTTTAAAAAATTGATGTAGAAAGATTATGTAAACTTACATCTGGTATGAAATGACTTGGTCTGATACTGGCCAAGAGAGCTAATTTGTTTGGCAGGGTTTTTGCCTTATTAGCTTGCAGCATTAGAGACCTCATGGATCGACTATGTCGAATTGGAATATCTGACATAAATTCTACTCCTCCTGCCACAACAGCGTCATAAACACCGCATGCGATTAAACCCATACCAGTAGTAATAGCCTGATTACTGCTAATGCATGCCATCGTTACTGTATGCGCAGGAGTGTGTTCGCTATATCCCGCGGCCAAAGCGGCCTCTCTCCCAATATTGGAAGTTCGCACTTCTTGCATCACTGTGCCATAGACAATATAATCGACTATTTCCTTCGGAAACCCAATTTTTTTTTGCAAGCTCCTAGAAATAGAAAATAACTTACTTTTACAAATAACATTTGCAATGAAAATACATAGAATGACCCTAGAACCATTTTGTAAGTAATATTTATAGAGTTACTTTTGTGATTATTTACGTTGACATATCAAAGTAAGGTTGACTTACACTAGTGAATGTCTTGCAAGATCATAAGCCAGAAGATTCTTATAGTAAGTTCCAGATTGTAAAAATGGAGTCCGTACTCCGTCAATGAATACAATATTTTTGGAGGTATTGTCACTTTTTGTAGAATAAGCCTTATTTATGGAAATTCCAGAAAAACGAGTAAAAGTTTCTGCAAAAATAATAAAACAAGATATTTATATTATATTAAATGAGATAAAGCAAATACTACAAAATGCAAGCATATATTATTAAAAATTTACCAGATCTATATTATAAATATTATATTGACTGTGAAAGTGTACAATATACAAATGACAAATAATTGTATACAATTAGGTGTTACAAAAATAAAAAAATCAAGTTGAGTATAAATACACTATTCCTAGTAGACACTCATGGACTTTGTACCAGCAAATCTGCACTTTACAATTTCAATTTAATATTTAATTGACTGTAAAAGAAAATTACTCTCCGTACCATAATTGACAATTCCCTGTCTCGCCATGAGGCAATTTTTCAAAAGAGGAAACATTGTGCGAGATACGATATTGATATTTCT